CATGACTTGTTTACTAGTATATATTAATTTGGGACTATTTGAAGTTGTTTTAGAACCTTGGGATTTAAATTAGCATGATTTAATTAAAGTTCTACTTTGTTGTTCTAACAACCTAATTGAGTTTTAGAATGGATATAGGTGATGACCTTGCCATGTCCTTTAACATGTGTTAAATTGAGGTTAATTGGAATTGAATCGGAATCTATAGAATTTAATTGTGTTTATCTATTTAAATTCTATCAATTTGCTCCATGATCTAGTTGTGTTTTAGAAGTGGTTTCTATATTCAAATCATGGACTTAGACTTCTTGTATATTCATTTGGTTATGTTTTAAACATTGGATAACATAGTTGCTATGTTTGTATTCATGAGAATATATTTTCCTTATTGAATATATTGTTGCCTTGTGTAATGATTTTGCACATTTTGTATTTAATATCATTCATGCATAGCATGTAACGAATCGCATACTGAAGATTCGACATTCATCACATCATATTAGTTGTGGACTTAGAGCACGTATTGTATAGGTTTCCAAATTTGGTTGTGCTTGGTAGATAGTTGATTATCTTGCATATTCCTGTTGATATATGCGTTGTTGCACAACTTGTTGATTTTGGAAACTTGGGAATGTCATTGTTTGACTATGGCTAGGACGTGGTTCTAGTACGGGGGATAGTCCCTCTATATGGTCTAGTGTGCACATAGGGAGGTTACCCATGGGCTAGTAACCCTAAAGTAACTATGTTGTCGGTCTGATCCGGCGTGACGTTCGAGTATCCACTTTGTTTGATTTCGCATTTCATTTTCAAGTTGATAACTAGATGATGTTGTAACTTGTTATTTCTTAATTGTCGTTCCATTTTAAGTTACAGGATGTTAACTTTGTGAAATTGTGCTTTATGCGTTGTATTGGAAGTTCCAATGTTGGTTAAATTGCATCGATATTGAAAATCATGTTTTGACGTTCTAATAAAGCTTAGGATTGATCTTATTGATTCATTTATAACATAAACATTAGGTAACATAAACCACTACTGTTATTTTGTGCTTTAGATTCTAAGTTGATGGCTTTGAGAACTTAAACCTTGTTGCATTGTATAACATGCTCTTTTGTTGTTGAATTACATGGATAATGTGATTCTTGTTAACTTGTATTCAAATATGCTTTTGTCATGTTATATGGATTACTCTAGACCTAATTCAATTGTATTGAAAATACAATTCATGTTAATCTATGCTCAAGCATTCTTCTTGTCGTGTTCTTAGATTATCCCAACCATGATTCGTTTCATACATGTATGTATATCATGATTCTTGTTGCTTAGACTATAAGGTAGCTTAGGATGCTCCCCGAGTCTCATTTGGACATAGACGTTAGGTGGCATGAGCCCCTTTAACATGTTTCACCTTAAGGTGATAAATTTGTAAAATACTAGGTCGATGCATGCTCATCTCCTACGAGTAGCTTTATGTTACTCACCCCTACGATACTGGGGTTTATTTCGGGTACGAAAACTTGGTTCGTGACGCCTAGCATTCCTTGGATGTCGTGTAGCTTTCAAGTTTCCATTTCATGCAAATGTTAGCATGAAATGTCATTTTATAGACTTATATGTCAAAATATGTATATTTGATTCCATGTATGTAATGTGTACTTAAGTACACTCCTTTCAATGTATTTGATATGTATGAGATGAGGCCGGAGGCCAATGACCATTATATTGTATTCTATGTACTTTTTAACTTCATGAAATATTGTGAAAATCTTGAAAAATCGCAAGTCATTGCTTCACCATGGTTGCATCGGGTGTGGGAATTCCGTTTTCATTATTTCATAGGGTCTTATAAATCATGTTTGAAGTATGGCCAAGGGCCAAACGGTCATTTGATCCTGTTTTGTATTTTTGGATTCCGAATTTTCATTCCAAGTTCCATTTTTGCCTTTTTTCCCGTTGGGTGGTCGAATTTTGTATCGGTGGTATTTTTAAGTTGTGGACCATTGTAGCACGTCCAAATAGGTAAATTACGTTTGCGTCCATGGTCGTTTCCGGGCAAAACCTTATCGTTTGTGTTTTGAGCCTCTTGTGAATTCATTTCGCACTTTTTTTACATATTCTGATCTAGGGGCATTATAGACTTTTCATGGTGGTTTTATTTTCTTCTTTCAATATGGTTGAATAGAAAACATTATTTTAGGAGGGGTTTCTTTTCCGTGTTTTTCCAGAAAATATCGTCTTGATATCGGAAATCGCTTACGAAGTTCAGCTCTCAGTTTTTCAATTTAGCAGCTTTTTGGACCTCCATGACAAGATTTCATGGAGGGGCATTTCGGGCATTCTACATTGTGTTTTTTTTAAATTCTCATTTGAGTCACATAGAAAACTTAATTTTGAGGGGGGTTTCTTCTTTGTGTTTTTGGAAAAAAATTCATCTAGGCCTCCAAATTCAGTCTCTGTTCTGGATTTTTCTGAGAAATAACCCCATAGCAGCTTTATGGGCTGCTGCTGCCAGCCATGGTGCACTCAGCGCGCGCGCATGGGCGTGCGCATGGGGCTATCATGGCCCCTCGTCGGGCCACCGCGACGTCAATTCTTCTTTTGGGCTTTTCTCCTTCGTCCGGACTCCAATTCAAGTGAATTTTTTTTTTTGAACTTGACTAATTTTTCGCTGTCTTTCCAACGGTGTGCTCGGTTGCACCCGGTTCTTCCTGGATAATTACCAGTTTACCCTTTTTGCCTTAAGTGCTCGTTTTTCTTCGTCATGCCGTTTCACCTTCGTCCGGACTCCGAATCATGCGATACTTGAGTCAATCTTGATTAGTTTTTCATTGTCTTTCCAGCGGTGTACTCGGTGGCTTCCGAATCTATAATTTTCAAAAGACTATTTTGCCCCTGGGGGCTTATTTGTCATATTTTCGATCTTTTGCTTCCGCATCAGTTCTTGTTGAGTTCCACGACCTCATGGAAGGTTACTTTGACTCTTAGAGTCTTATTTTCTATCTTCGCTTCCACATTCAGATCCGTTATCGGATCATCCTTACGGTTCATCACAGGACACGCTAGCCTAAAAACCAGGGTCGTCACACATTACATGTTTAAATTCAAATATACATATTTTGACATATAAGGCTACAAATGGCTTTTCATGCCAACCTTTACAAGAAATGAAAATCTTCAAGTCCACCAATCATCCAAGCATGACAAGAATCGCAACCTTGGTTCTTGTACCTGAAATATGCCCCAGTATCGTAGGGGTGAGTAACATAAAGCTACTCGTAGGAAATGAGCATGCATCAACCTACGTTTTACAAGTTTGCATGATTTAATTATTGTGGTTCATTCCACCTAACGTCTATGTCGAAGGTGAGACTCGAAGACATAGGTTCTCTAGGTTATCAACTAGAAATCTAAAAGTGTGCAATCAACTAAATATAGCAATTTAGTATGGATGTACATTACAACATCAAAATGATGATTCACAAAAATCATAAAACATAGATGTACTTAACAACATCAAAATGATTCACAAAAATCATAAAACATAGATGTACTTAACAACATCAAAATCGCCAATAACCAAAACCACAAGTTACAATATAAACATGATTGTTAACTTGGAATTGAATGCGAAAACAAATAGTGCAAGACTTGGACATCTAAGCTCGGAATTTTGCCGAGACCTCAATGGTTATTCCGGGCACTAACCCGCAAGGAAGACCACCCTAAGTGCGTACTATCTCAATGACTTAGAGGACTCACGTCCCCGTACTAGAGCCAAACCCTAGCCATCTCAACTCAACAATGTTCCAAGATTCTAAAATTAAACCAAATAAGTTCAAACCTTATACATAACTTATATAATGCATGAAAACACCTTTCATGCACAAGTAAGTTGAAACCACACAATCCATTCCTTAGAACTTCAATTCTAAAATGACATACATAATGTCAATTACAAAGTGTGCAATTCACCACACATGACATCAATATGTTCAATAAAGAAAACATATTCTCATGAATATAAATATAACAACGAAGTTGTCCAATGCTCAAAACACAACAAAGTGAATACATAACAAATTCAAGTCCATGATTTGAATATAGAAACAACTTCTAAAATACCAATAGATCCATGGAGCCATTAGATAGAATTTAATTAAACAAGATAATCAAATTCTCTAGATTTCAAATAACCTAAAATTAACATATGTTAAGCAACATATCATGGTCTTTACATATATCAAATCAAAAGTGCAAGATGAGCAAGATATCATCAAATAGAATTTAATTAATTTAAATCAATTAAATCTCTATATTTCAAAAGTTGTCCAAATGATCTCAAATTAATATATATCAAGCACCAAGTCATGATCATACCATATATCAAGTCTAAGATGGATTACAAGCAAAACACAGTTTACTAGAATTTAAATCAAATTAAATCCATTTAATCTCTAGATTTGAAAACTCATCTAAATCAACCCAAATTAATATATATCAAAGATCAACTCATGGCCATGCCCTTTACCAAGTCTAAAATGACTTATAAGCAACTACCATTAATTATAATTTCTCAAATTAATACAATACATGCATACAAGTTGTATAAGTATCAAAAACATACAAAATAAAAAACATATAACCCTATAACATCCCCTACCTCACTAGAGAAGTGTCTCTTTAGAATTCAAGGCAAAATCAACACAAAATGGCAAACCTTTCTAGGGTTATGAAGAGGAAGATGAGGGGAACAAGATGTTAACCAAGGAATTTCCCTGAGGAGACACCAAAGGCACATTTGTTTGGGTTGAGTTTCATTTGGTGTTTCCTGAGGACTTGGAATGTCTCTTGTAGATCAGCTAGGTGGTCTTGAGCTTTCAAGCTTTTTACCAGCATGTCATCCACATATACCTCCGTATTCCTTCTGATTTGATTCTTAAACATCAAGTTGACTAGCCGCTGGTATGTTACACTAGCATTTTTGAGTCCAAAAGGCATCACCTTGTAGCAATACAAACTCTGTTCGTGACAAAAGAGGTTTTTTCTCTATCTGGTGGATGCATTAAGATTTGGTTATATCCTGAATATGCATCCATGAAACTAAGCAACTCATAGCCAGCCATTCCTTCTACTAACATGTCGATTTTATTTAAAACGGTAAAATCTACGCACAACCTCCATTTTTCATTGGCCTTTTTTACCAAAACAACATTGGCCAACCAGTCGGGATAATTAACCTGTTGGATGAAATTAGCTTTCAGAAGCTTGTTCACCTCTTCTGATATAGCCATGTTCCTCTCCGTGGCAAATGTTCTTCGTTTTTGCCTGATAGGTTTGACTATGGGATCCGTGTTTAATCGATGCTCGATCGTAGTTGGATCAATACCAGGCATGTCTTTATGTGACCATGCAAACACATCTTGATTCTGTCTGAGGAACTGTACAAAAGTATTCATGAAGTCTAAGGGGAGTAGAGACCTATCTTCACCTTTTTTGTTACGTCATTGTCATTTAAGCATATCTCCACCAGGTCCTCAATTGACTTGGCTCGATCTCGCTCCTGTTCTTCAATTTCTTCGACAACCAAAGCCTCTTGCTGCTTCTTTTCTCTCAGAGACGCAACATAGCATTCTCTGACAGTGGTCTGATCTCCTCTTAGTTCGCCTACGCCCTGCTCTGTAGGGAAACGCATCAAGAGGTGATAAGTCAAAGTGATTGCCCTCATCGAGTTTAAAGTAGTTCTTCCTAGGATAACATTGTAAGCAGATGGGCAATCCGCCACCAAGAAGTCTACCATGACAGTAACTTGTTTCGGGCTGGTTCCTGCAGTGACGGGAAGAATGACAGCTCCTAGAAGGTAAACCTTATTGTAATACCCCTAGTTTTCAAAAGGATAGGATTGGAAGTTTAATTTTATTTTTCACTGATTAATTGATTTTGTTTTATGACTTAGTTGTTTTGTTTTCTTAAATGATTAATTGTGTTTGCTTAATTGATTTAATTTATATTTGTGTGTATTTAATTTACATGTTAATTGAGATTGTTTTAATTATAACATTTGATTTTATTTAAATTAATTGCCTTAGTAATATGTAACTTGGATTTACCTGTTTAATTACTATACTTATTGAATTGTTTTATTTAACTAATGCAATATTTATTTATTTTTTCTATGATAACTTAGGGTTACAGTTATATTTTTTTTGGCTTATAATTCACGTATTGGTGAGCCGCCGTAGGTTAAAATTGAGATAGTTTCATGGGCCGGTTAGGATAGGGATTAGGGCTTAGTCTCTGATTATTCGTGGACTAGGGTATCAATATACACCTATAAATATAAAGTAATACATGATTTAGGGTTTGGAGAACAGAATAAACGTATGTTCTGTAAACTACAAACAGAGCCCCAGATTGGTAGTGAAAACCAGAAAGATACAGAGATAATCGGAGTGGGAGTTTGGGTGGTTCACAAAACAGAATCAAGGAGGGAAGTTTGGTGTGTATTACCGGACTGCAGTAGGAGCAGCAAGGGTGGTTTAACACTCAGAGACGTGGAATTAGCTTTGCAAGTTTGGGTTTCAAAGGCAAGTCTTGTTCTTACTCTTTCCCTTTAATTCGTGTTCTGTGCATGCCTAGTTAAGACTCCAGGGATTAATCAAAGATTTAAAATAGATGAAACTAATTCTGTATGCATGTTTAAACCAATATATAGTTCCATCATAGTACTCTGTCTTATTGTTGCTTAAAAGTATTAACTGGAAACTTGTTGCCGATTGCTTTCAAATCTGGTGTTAGATTCCTATTGTGATCGTATATTAATGTTGGAGGATTAGTCTGAGACATTAAACAAGCTCTAAAATAAGTACTTAAAACAGTGTTTGAATGCACCAAAATACTCTGTTTTGGGTTGCTTATAAATTTCAAACTAAGTTTCTATGATCAGTGATTATAAACCTATTTTTTTTATGCATGCTATCATTGCATATAAGTGATTTAAAATTTATCTAGGACTGAGTTTAAACCTAGAACAGAGATTTAAAAGCATCACAGAAGCTCCGTTAATCACCGGAGTTGGAGAAGAAAACACAGAAACAGTCGACGGCGTCTAAGGGAGTGAGAGCAGGCTCAAAAAGGGGACAGAGCCGGCTCTGTAACCCTTAGAGCCAGCTCCCTAATGTTGGAGCTGGCTCTTGGCAGCCTTAGAGCCGGCTCTTAGGGCCATAGAGCCGGCTCAATCATCCAAAGAGCAGGCTCCATTTTTCTAGAGCCTGCTCTTGTCCAGTTTTTGCATTTCTGTGAGGTTTTGGGCATGTTTAGGCTATACAGTGTTTTCAGAAGCTGTTTAAAGGCTATTGCAAGGTGTAATTAAATGTTAGGGACTTATGTTAAAGTTGAAAACACTTAGTACAGTAGTGGATTAAGGAAAGGAGTAAGGAACAGCTCAAAAAAATGTCTAAACGTTGCACTATTTGGCTAAGGAAATTAATTACCGGAACTTAGCAAATTGTTGGTATATGAATTAATTATATTTAATCCTATTTTCCACCATGTAATGAATGTAGTGAATTATCTGTAAATTCAACTATGATTGGTTTGGAATGAATTTGGTACTTAAGGGCTGTTAAAAGGTATCAGTTTTTGCACTGTAGGTAGAATTCAAATACTATGAAATATTTTAGTTATTTAAATTGTTGGAGTATGATAATTAGGTTCTGAAGTGAATACCTAATGTTGATATGTATGTATGAATTCATATGGGTGCATAGTTTGGAGGATGGTAGTTGATTATATAGTGTTGTAGTAACTGTGCTATGTTGGAGGATTTGCTAGTTTTTGATATTAGAACTTAACAAGGTTGTTAAATATGATTTGAATATATATAATAAATCATATGACCATAGTGGTGTAAGTATAGTGAAATAACTACAATTATCTATGCTTAGCTTGGGTGAACTTGATACTTAAAATATTTTTTTCACTGTATCAATTCGTGGACTATAATGGAGTATGTGAATGCTTGACTTTATTGCAGCACTTTACATTATTGGAATTAGATTTTAGGCCCGTAATGAATGCCTATTATTTATGTATATGCATTAAATTTATCTTGTGCATATTCTGGAGTGTGGTTGATGACTACTTAACATTGTATGGTCAATTGTGTTAACTGGAGGATTGTTTGTACCGGTATGGGACGGTGACATACTAGGTATGGATTTATTCAAACACTAAATCCTACCTAAATTGGAATGAGTTGGATTAACCATAAAAAGGTTAAGTCCTACTTATATGGATGTATATATATGAACCGATATGGGACGGTGTCATATTGGGGAAGGCTTAGCTCAAAATACTAAGACCTATCTAAATTGGATTAAGGTATGGATTAACCATAGAGGTTAAGTCCATCACTTACATGTGTCATATCAATTGTGAATTGAAAGACTTATTATGGTTTCAGGATGGATTTATTATACAGATGTCAGACCACTACACAGATGGATGATATTCTGTATTAGGAGGAGTACGGACTTTATATATTTATTATATGTGTCATGGTATGAGCCTGAGTCTCAAGACCATGGTTAGGGCGCGTATATCGCCTAGGATGGATAACTGGACATAAGTGTTGTTCCCTGGTAGGTCTAGGTACTCATGCCCACCTTAGGGTGCGTATTTGCATGTTACCTTCTATTCAGGCTGAGACAGACCTACTGGACTAGCGAGCGTCCTATAGTGTGTACTATATATACATATATGGACTACTCTAGATATTGTTGAGTCTTTCTAGGATGTATCTGCGTATCGGATTACTGTTTGGATCGTAGTAGATCAGGACTTGCATGTGGGCCTGACCCACTCTATTATTTTTTAGGTGTTCGACAGTACCAGTCTTAGAGCTGGATCGTGTTGATGCAGATACAGACACTCACTCTTCCGGTTATATAGGATTTCCTTTCTATTTTAAATTTTGGTTTTTAATTCTGTAAATTTGTTCAAGGTTTGGGATTAGAGGTCCAGTAGGTGGATTCCCGAGTTGTACGGTTTTAAATCATATTAATTTATTTATTTCAAGTTTGAGGATTCTTATGTTAGATTTCTTTCAGCGTATTATTAATTTGTTCTTAATTCAGTTTTTTTTCTGCTTGTTTATATATTAATTGTTTGGTATCCCTCGGATCTGTGCTCGGACTTGATCACCCGTGGCTCTAGAATCGAGCGGTATCACACTTATCTCCCGTGAATCCCACCAATGGTGATTTAGTAGGTTTAAGTTTCTCCTTACCAATATTCATTTTGCTGAATGCATCAAGGAAAATGATATCAGCCGAACTTCCATTATCCACCAAGATCCATCGAGTAGTATAATTAGCGATCATTATGGTGACAATGAGGGGGTCGTCATGAGGTTGTTGCACATCCTAAATGTCTTCGTCTGAGAATGTAATAGCAGGATCACCTAGACGAGGCATCTTTCGATGTTGAACCTGTACTCCAACTTCACACACCTCAGATGAGCTTCTTATTCTCCTGGCATAAGCCTTTCGAGCTGAGCTTGATTCTCCACCTCCTGCACATCCCCCGGCTATGACCCTGATTTCTCCCATTGGTTGTTGATCAGGAGGATGATTATCTCGGCCTGCTCTAGGTGGATTAATATCGGTTCTGTCATTCCCAACAATAAACTTTTGCATATGCCCCCTTCGGATCAGAGTCTCAATCTGATCCTTGAGGTCGAAGTAATCCTCTATGGTGTGCCCATGGTCTTTATGGAACCTACAGTACTTATCACGAGGTCTCCTCGCTGGATCTGACTTCAACTTTGGTGGCCACTTCAAATATGGTTCATCCTGGATCTATAGGAAAACTTGATCTATCGGCATATTTAAAGTAGTGTAATTTATATACCTCTCCGCGTTCTTATAACAAGACGCCCTTTCATTCTGGTTGACCATGGGTTTCTTATACTTGGTTTCTTTTTCATCTCTGGTTGTCAGGGCCGGCCTTTTTTTATCTGCCTTCTTATCCTCCCCTTCTTTTCCCTTTCTCGCAATCACTGCATCTTCAGCATTCATATGTGTAATACCCCTAATTTTAAAAGGATAGTCTCGGTATTTATTTATTTATTTTTATTGTATTTTAATTGTTTAATTGATTATTTGACTAATTGTTTATGTGTTTAATTGAATTAAGTGTTACTTGATTAATTGGCTACTTATTTATGTGTTATTTGTATTTTGTCTAGGTGTTATTTGTATTATTTGTTTAATTAGATTGTGTACTTAAATGATACATTTGATTAATTGTAATTAATTGTAAATTAAATGATTAAATGTTTTATTTTATTTTATTTTATGGTTATGGTTAGTGGTAATGGGTTAACTAATTGGGTTCCATGGACTACTTGGATAGGAGGTTGGATGGGTATGGATAATTACCCAAGGATAGTTCTATATGTATATATATAGATATATATGTATATACATATATATAAAAAGGAAAGTAATTTATTAATATTATAGTAACTTTAGTATTAATAAATAATCTGATGTATATATTTTATATATTTATATAATAAGGATACGTAACATGTTTTAAGTTACCTTTTTAATATTATGGTAACTTTAGTATAAATAAATAATCTGATGTATATATTTTATTTATTTAATGAGGATATAGATAGATTATATACGTAACATGTTTTAAGTTACCTTTTAATATTATGGTAACTTTAGTATTAATAAATAATCTAATGTATATATTTTATTTAATTAATAAGGATATACATAGATTATA